AAAGAACAGCTGAACAATGATATCTAGTATTTTGTATGACAAAATGACCGCCATAAAAAAATGAATGGGTAACCACGAGTGGTAAACCACGCACCTGGCAGACTTAACAATAATATACATATGCATATGTCTTCAATGTCTTTTTTGAAGGATATAATCTATGCAACACTTTTAAGATAAAGAGCACACAATATTAACTCAGCTAACCTTCCTGTGCAGCAATCATGCTACCTGCTGGTAAAACTACTCAATCACAACTGTAAATAATAAAGATGAGTGCATACCAGTGTCATGAGTTATACCCGAGTCACTGCTGCCACCAACAAATTGGTTTAAATCTTTTGTAAAAGGGAGTACAGAAATGTTGGGAATGGCTAGAAGCTGGGTAAATTACTTATAACTAAAAAACACACAGGACATCTATGTATGTATAAAGTATAGATCACTCATTAACCAATCAATGTAGAGTCTTATCTGTGGCCTATTGTTTCTAAGCCCAGACAGCAAATTGTTCAGGGCCGGCCCTGACCATAACCAACACATGCCTAACCCTAACCCTAACCCTAACCCTTACCCTTACTCTTCCCCTAACCCTAATCAAGTCTTCACCCTAAAATGAATGATTCCCCACATGGGGACCTCCATTTTGTCCTTGGGAGGCGAGTCCCCACACGTGACTGTGTAAACAGATTTAGGTCCCCACAATAGTAATGCTAGGCCACACACACACACACACACACACACACACACACACACACACACACACACACACACACACACACACACACACACACACACACACACACACACACACCATTTTGGTGCGTTTCCCACTCTTATGTGCCCATCCCCCCACGTGAACCACACCTGGCAGACTAAACAATGTATCATATATAATTAAATGTATGCCTTGCTTTCATTTTACTCCGTGAGCACAATGAGTAGGCGACCAATTTGACTGTTATCTGTCAGAGAGATTATTCTTTGTGAATTTACTGCTGTTTTTCATGTATAGCAGTAGTCTGATACATTGTTTACTGTTTGATTCAGTTTTTTTTTGTTAATATAAGAGCATTTAAAATAGGACCGGTCAAATTTGACCGGGAACACCAAAGTAAGGGGGGGAAACGAACACAACAGGAGGTTTAATGAGTGTGAATGAATATGTATGAAACATGAGTAGAATTGCTCTAAACCTTTACACATTTTTTTATGGGAAGTTATTGAGAATGCTGTATTTCACAGCTGTTGGTTTTGCAGAAAGAAAACCCCTCAAATCTAAAAAACAAGGCATTAATAACTTTATTCCCGTGTGATGAGTAAAACAGACTATAACCAACCAATTGCAACTTTGCAAAAGGCACTTTAATAGTCATCCCCATTATATATCATGAAGATAACTACAAATGTTCCACAAATGGAACACATAAAAGGGCTTCACTGACTTACTGTGCCCATAATGACAGTACCAGTCCCTCATTCTTAAGTATCAGCTATCAAACTGGGTGGACACTCATTGCCACTACATGGATGGGAGGTAGAAAGGAAAGGCTTACACGGCTTCTTTATCTGTTTCTTTTTTCTTTTACTTTCCGGACCTAATCTTGCGCTTTTGCTGTTTGTAGCCAACCATTATGTTTAATTTTTCAAAAAACTACGTTATCTATAAACTAAGTCTTCTTTATGTTGTCATGGTTTACAGAATCTGACTGATTTACAACTTTAGAAAGGCCTTAAAGATTAATTTAGGAACTGTGAAATCAATATAAAAGGAAGCATCAAATGAATATGTTTTTATCATAGGAAGTTCTGTCTGAGAAGGAACTCCAAAATTGCAACTGTTGTGCCTTTGCTCTGTTTGCATCAATTTGATGGAAAGGTTCAGATGAAGCTGAACACAGTGATAATCTTTTCTTCTACACCCACAGATATAAGTGAGTGTGAAAGTAATCCCTGCCAAAATGGAGGTACCTGCGTGGAAGGTGTTAACCAATACAAATGCATCTGCGCCCAGAACTGGAGTGGCTCTCACTGTCAGCACCAAACACAGACAGGTCGGTAACAATGTGTTCATCTCCAGATCATGTTTTAGCACAGGTATTCAACTTCCCTATTTCCGCCCTAATGCAGCACCACCTGAGTGGAGCGTCATGAACGATCCAGCATTCAGCCGGAGACCTCGCTGCGCCCAAGTGAACCAAGCCCAACACTGCAGCTGTGATGCAGGCTTCCACATGAGTGGCACCTCTGACAACAGTATCTGTCAGGGTGAGCCGTAATTACTTAATTGATCCCCGTAGGGAAATTCTCTTTTCGCAACTCCTCCTCACAGGGAAGCAAGGTCAGCTAAAGAGCAGTTCCCTCGAGCTGGTGCCCTGCTAAACAACACCTCAGCAGGGCACATAGCAGGCCAGTAGGCATTTTACTGCCGAAAAGATACTCCACTACTGATTAATACGGCTACAAATGAGAGTAATCTGTGGAGCCAGTCTGTGACAAACAAAATAATCCTCTCGGGTGTTCACAAGCTGATTAGCATCAATTTAGGTCACAGTTCAGTTTGCTTTTAAGATGTAATTGGTTGAGTAAGAGTTTGAAATGCAGCTGTCTGAAATGTGTTTATGTCCAATACGCTCTGAGGGCAAAACAAAGGGACTTAAATACTGACGACAACATGAGAAACAAAGTGTGTTGTAAACTGTACAATGTATGAGGTATATCATCATTTAAACCTTAAAGGTCACCTATTATGCATAATCCACTTTTTTCTTATATACATAAACATGTGTCCTCTCTGTGGAAAGAGATTCTGAAAGTTGCAGGAAAAAAGATTCTCTCACTTTTTGTCCTGATCCATTTATATAAAATCCTGTCTGAAAATGAGCTGATCAGACATTGGCCACTTTATGATGTCATAACGTTTTTTTGGCTTGTGTAACCATTAGCCAATAACCAACCAAGGTAACACCCTCCCCCACCTTATCTGAATCTCCTCCTAGAGCACCATTGTGTGTTTTTTAACCAAATATCTCTCAGAGGGGCGTGGGGAGGGGCTCCTTGTTTTCATCTAAAGTAACAGACAGAGAATCAGCACTTTTGAAACAGGGCTGAAACAGAGGGGATTATGGGATGCTACAATGCATGATCTGTTTGGTATTTCGAGCCAAACACTTCAGAGAAAAGTTTTGTATATATCTGAGAACAATAATATATTGATGAAAAACAGTATAATAGGGGACCTTTAAACTCTGCATCCTCTTAGTTGGTCTCATGTGCACTTTGGCTTGGTCATGTGATGCATTTTTAAGTTATGCATTTCTTTGTCTGTTTCCTGACAGATGTAAACGAATGCGAAGTGTACCGGTTGGACCAAGGAGGGAAGCTGTGCGTCCACGAGTGTGTGAATGTCCCGGGCTCGTACCGCTGCTCCTGCCCCAGCGGCTACAAGTTGCTTGCAGACAGGCGGAGCTGTGAGGGTGAGTGACAAGAGGGAACAGAGGACAAAGGCTCATTCACAGAGCGCTGGCTGCAGATCTGCATGGGTATGTAGCTCCAGAGAGGAATACCTGTGTCTTAGAGAGACGAGGAGCTGCAGAGCTTTGAGTTCCTGCAGAGGAGAAGTGTCTGTTGGCCCAAAAACCCCGTTACCACTTTCATTTGCACCCCTGAAGCTCGCAAAGCTTGCCAGTGGAATAAATGACCTCACCGTTTCCTAGAAGAAAGGGATCTTTAGGACATGAGGCGTTTGGGGGAGACTAAACTAAAAAACCAAATAAACAATCGTAGCACAGCACCCCCCAGCTCAGACTGTGGTAACCAGGAAGCAGAGCGTCAGTCTGGCAAGCCTCTCTCCCCGCTTCTCCTTCTTACACGGCTCTGCTGTTTTTTCTTCCAGATGTGGACGAGTGTTTGAGCCAGCAGCACAACTGTAGCCGAGGGACAACTTGTATCAACACGGGGGGGGGCTTTCAGTGTGTCAACCCAGAGTGTCCCCGTTCTCATGGCAACATCAGCTACGTCAAGACATCTCCCTTGTAAGTGGATACACCCCAGTGTTTCTTTGTCATTTTTTATACAAGGGAAAAGCTATATAAAAAAATCTTCCATGTGTGAGCAGAAAATTGTCACCAAGTTTAGATGTATCTTTTGCGTAGTAAATTAGATGCTGTCAGAAACGTATGGGCTCCTGGAGGACATTTTGACCCCATTTTGGGACCTTTGTTGTCAGGGTCATGGTCAGTGATCCATGACAGTGAAGTTGAGATACATGTATCAACACACACAGCCTCAGAGTTCTCCAGATGAACCATGAAAAGGGAAATTCATGTTTTAGACAACTTGGGACTTAGTTTTGGCCGTCATTGATGTTGGAAGAAATAACATAAAACTCACCATGGTAACCTCTGAGTTCTGGCAATGCAGCCATTTCACTGCCAAGTTAACCTTTTTTTCCTGCGAGAAATTGAGGGCTGCCTATAAAACCATCACTAAAACAGTTTTTAACATTCATCACAGTTTACAAACCTACTTCCTTTTTTGCGATTTGCCTTAGTTGTGTTGTTACAGTATTTCCATGCAGTGAAATCTCACTTTCAGATTTACTATCAAAAACTGTGCTTTAGATATTAGAGCTAATCTGTTTACTACTCATGGTCTGACTTTGTTGTAGTGATGCCTCTAGACTTAATTCCAGTAATAAATTATATCAATAAAACACAAGAGTTATAGCCCTACACTAGTGAAGTAAATCCTTTCTGACAGCCCAACTTCCCTAGATACCATTTTTCCCTCTTAATACCCATGTACAATATCTGTGTCCTGGCCAAATGTTAGGAGACATTACAACATCCCTCTTCCTATTTGCCAATCATCAGCAAGCTGCCTCATTTAAGAGCATGAAACAAAACTCTGTCTGCTTCTACTGAACCATCAACGTGGTGAAACACCGCTCCACTGCCAGTCAAAGGAATGGATAAATGGGACACAACAAGGGGAGAAGGCAACATGGAGTAAGACAGTAGCTGTGTCCCCATTTCAACATAATAATGTTTTGCAGGTTTTTTAAGAGTTTGGAAGTACTGCCCTAAAGAAAAAAATCACAGCCGGCTAAGATCTATGATGACTTCAGGGCACATGAGCTCATATGTACTGTATGTAGGTGTGTCACTCTTCTCCAGTCTCAAAGAAACCGCTATAAACACTTTCCCACAGGGATGGATTAATTATATAATAGTTTTCTCAGTGTCAAAATGTGCATGACAACCGGCAAACACACAGAGAGTGGAACATGTGTACCACTTTGTCCTGTAATGCCCCCTGCTTAATACTGGCTGTGTTTCTGTCCTGCAGTCAGTGTGAGAGAAACCCCTGCCCCATGGACAGCCGCTCCTGCCACCTGGCTCCTAAGACCGTGTCCTTCCACTACCTGTCTCTGAGCTCCAACCTGCAGACTCCTGCAACTCTTTTCCGTATGGCGACCGCCTCCGCCCCAGGTCGCACCGGGCCCGACAGCTTGCGTTTCGGCATAGTGGGCGGAAACTCCAGAGGTATCTTTGCCATGCAGCGTTCAGACAGGCAGACCGGGGAGCTGATCCTGGTCCAGCAGCTGCGGGGGCCGCAGGAGATCAGCATAGACGTGGACATGTCTGAGTACAGCGACCGCACCTTTCAGGCCAAGCATGTGGCTAAGGTTAACATTCTGGTTTCACCTTACAACTTCTGAGAGAGAGCTGGAGATGGACGAAGACGAGACGGTGAGGTGAAGAAGAACACGGAGCAGTGTAATGAGAACTGAGTTTCCTGGTACTGTTTCTTTATCCGTAATTCAATTGTCTGAGTAGCCAGTTGCAGGACAACACTTGTTCAGTGGCCAATTACCACAATAGTGAGAGTGGCAGGTACGGAGGCCCATGTGGTTATGACTTAACAACAGGTGAAAGAGGCGTTGCCAATGTAATCTTTCTACGTTCATTTTTCTATGTATGACTTTTTTCCAATATTCACCTGGCAACAAGAGGCTGAAATGCACCACTACCCTACTTTGTGTTTTATCAGTTTAAAACACATATTATTGTTTCTTATGTTTAGAGTTTGTGGATACATTTTAAACTCTCTCTAGAACACTTCATTGTTTTAAGTCCAATTTGGAACAAGTTTTGCAGATCAGACTCTTGTGGCCAGAAAATAAGTATTACAACACTTTCACCTGCCAACACTTATTTCACCTGTTGCACAGACGAAAAACACTGTAAAAACTCGAAACCTTACCAAGTATATTGGTCTTATTTCTAGTCATATAATCTCTGTCTGTGTTTTTACAACTGATATAAGACATAATAACTTAAAGGTGGGGTAGGTAATTTTGGAGAAACCAGCTCGAGTGAGCTAGAATTTAAAAATACACAACCGGAACAAATCTGCCACTTCCTTACAGAGCCCCTCCTCCAACACACACGAACGCGCACATGACCAATGAGGGCACGAGATAAGTTTGTGCACAGATGGAAGGCTGACAGGCAGGTAGGCCATCCAGTTATTTTAGCCGGGCCGGCTCAGATG